ACACACACACACACACACACACACACACACACACACACACACTTATACACTTAACAGTTAACGATTAACATACATGAAAAAAATTAAAACTAACTAGATTTAATATATTGGGCACATATTGCCTCTAGTTTTATAAAGTATGCTAGTTTTCTATGTCTCAAACTTCCATGTAGCACATTGTAAAAGGGGGGCCTCTCAGTTGTGCATATATTGTGCAATGGTAGGGGAAGTTCATTCTCCTTTCAGTCAGTCTTAGGTCCGAGTTTCTAGATCATGTTCTTGCTGAAGGCTTTTTTTGTAGCAGTACAGAAAGTACTGATTATTGGTGCCTTGTCATTACACACACGCGCGCGCGCACACACACACACACACAAACACACACACACACACACACACACTCCGTGTCTTATTGTAGTTTACAGCACTGGGATTTCCTGGTGGCTTCCTACCCAAGTACTAACTAGGCTGGACCCTCTTTAGCTTCTGAGTCCAAGAATGGCTGAAACTGCTTGTGGTGCAAAGAGGAGGAAATTGTAAGTGAACCCCACCCCCACATACACAGGTGAAAGCTGGAGTGCAATGGAGGGCAGGGCCAGCCTTCTGCTTTATAGTCCCCATTTTTCTTAATGTGGCTGTCCAGACACTTTCCCCTCCATATTCTATTGACTGAACACAATTGAGCACTCTGCAGTCTTGTAGATATATCTGTAGCTGCAGGTTCTATTTATTTCAATAAACACCTTGATCCTAAGTGTGTAACTGTGCCTCACTTCACCAATGCATATCCTTCAGTTCTATATGGTTATTTATTAAATTTATTTGCTGCAGGTCTCTTCACAAGGTGATGGGGGAGGCACCTTGGTGATTACAATACCTTTTAACTAATTGTAGGTTCTATTGTTTTTTTAAACTATTATTTCAGAAATTTGGGAAAGACACAGGGCCAGAAATATAAGGAACTGAAGAGGGTGGTGAAAGTTTACTCAAATTCCAGAGGCATCAATAAGCAGATAAAATTATGAACCAGGGAAAGATTATTTTTCTCCTAGAACTAAATTGACCATCCCTCCATCTTGGGGGACCTTCGTGCTGTGTAAATCATCCCACCTTTTTGCTTGTTTATTCTGTTGTTGCTATTTGACCTTCTCCCTTAGACATGCAACAGGAGCAATTGAGCAGGGATCCTCAGCCTTATCTGAGACTAATTGTTTCCAGAAGGGTTATGGCTTTGGACATTATCTCACTCCTCCTTGCTCTCTATCCATTTCCCCTGCCCCAGTCCCCACCTCCCCCACAGCCATCTATGACTCCCAGTTGTATTTAAAGACGGGTTTTTGATCTGTAATTTGTAAGTCCTTGCCGAAAAGTGATTCTCTGGGGAAGGAAGGAAGGAAGGAAGGAAGGAAGGAAGGAAGGAAGGAAGTAAGTTTTGACCAATTGGGTTGTAGGTGGCCTAGTCAGATATCTGTCTCTCTCCTGTCCTCTCCCCAACCTCACCTCCCTAAGTAAGGAATTCATTTTATCTCACAGGAAAATGGAAGTGGCAACATCCGATTCAATTAAAATTCTTGCCCTAGGAAGGTTTTTGGGGATGGTATATCAGATCCAAACTCCGTGATGACAGTTTGAGAGATTAGTCTGTATACAGAAACCCAAAATATAAGGTGAAGCAAAAAAGAAGAGAGGGGGAATTAGTGGATCAGCCTCTTTACTCTTTGATCTCCCTTTCTTCCTT